AAAAATATGTGGTTTGCTTCTTGAGCCTAGCAATAACCCTGCTAGTGATCCGATCTATGACATGACACAATTCTTCTTGCAAAACCTGAAAAACCTCCACGACAACCACCTCCTGCATCTGATCAACAGACAACACCGGCCTATCTTGGCCATTAGCTCCTGATCCTGATCTGGATCCTGCCTCCAATTGTCTCATCATCACCATATTGAACATAACTAGGGAGATATCATATAACATACATATCATAACAGGGGAACCACCTCCCAACAAATCCCTAGGGGGTTATGACTTCCTTGTTACGTATATGGTCATGTATTTTCAGTAGTACAGACCCATACTACCTTCCACACCTACCTATATTTGTCTCAAGGATCATCAATCCTAATAATACATGCTAGCATACACACATACAAGGTCTTAAAATCCTAGAGGAAAACTACACATCTCAAGACTGGCCGGCTGACCCCACACAACTCTTTCTACCACTAGCTACCACACAACCCTCCATTGGTGCAAGATAACTATTGCATGAATAAAATCACCTGCCGTACAACTAAACAAACTTAAACTAAAAGATTAAATCCTATAACGGCTAGACTCATACAAGAGTTGCAAATCCCTTACCTTAAGATCGTTTAACCTATGAATCATGTGACTTAGCGCATTCACTCAATAGTCAGTTCACATGCAAAAGAGTCATATAACAATCAATCAAGTATTATATAAGAGATAAGGTATCATATATCAGGCAATTCTATCATACATTTCCTGAAGATCCCTATCTTGTTACTAGCATGCTGTTTTAACATATCATAACGTAATCTTAAGTAACTATGTGGTAATTTGGGTTCTACTTATTGACTCCGGCTGATCGTACACATCGCATCCTCCTTGATTATTTTGAAAATCCTGTGAAAAATGTTTTTTTTTTAATCTTTTTACTTAGTTTAAAACTGGATTCACATGAGTGTTCCTCCAATTCACTCAAACCAAGGTTCTGATACAAACTTGTATCATCCATAAAATTCATGAAAAATATAAAATATTAAAACCACTCCACAAATCAACATTGTTTACAAAATAGTTTACAAAACATGCTTAATAGAGTATTCCTAAAATCATAAAACAAACTATGATGAGATGCACAATCACGCCTTTGCCTTCCCACAATCATTTGAGGTAGATGAAACATAAACCAAAACTGTAAGCCCAAAGCTTAGTGAGTTCCCCTAAAATACCAACACATCACATAATCATAATACTAATAATAACAAACAACATGCATACAGAGCCTTCAGTCTGACTGGAACTCCCCGTCGGCCTACAATTTACTTGGTATGCTTACAGAACCTTCAGCATGACTAGTACGGCTCACAGGGCCTTCAGCCTATCTGTAACGTTCTCCGAGCCTTCGGCCTAATTGGTACGCCCCATTGGCCTTCAGTCTATCCGTGACACCCTAGGTCTATTTGCAACGGTCGAGATCCAGGTATTTACATTTCTTACCCTTAATATGAAAGTTATTACAAAATTTGGGCCTTTTCGTACGTTGGGTGTACTTAAGGAGTACGCTTAGCATACTAAGGATGGTTGATCACGGAGATTCGTCACGTACGTTGGGCATACCAAGGGGTACGCGGGGCGTACATAACTGAAGACCAAAACCATAATATATGGGCTTGAGACCTATATAAACGTCCTTAAGTCTTTTAGACCAAACCCTAATCAGCCTCCATAGCCTCATTTCGTCCTTGAACCTCAAATTTCCTTGTGAGTAAGATTCTTGAGCTTAGAAAGTGTGTTGGTGGCCATTTTAGAGAGCATTCAAGAAGGAGAAGGTGGTGATCAAGCCTTGAGTGTCATTGAGCTTCTACATCCTGTATCTAGTTCATCTTGATCCTTGATGAGCCAAGTATGCTATGAAGTCCTCTATGATGCTCAAGATCGTTCAAGGATGCTCAGAAGTTGGTATTGCTCAAGGATTACACCATGTTGTGCCATCATGATGGGTGTTGGTGTTGGATAAGGTGTCTAAGCCCATAACTATATCTGGTATGTACTTAACCCGACCCGACATGGTCCATTTGGGTTGCATGGCACCATGCATTGGATAAACTAAATGAGAGAAATAACACTTATGGTTTATTAATATATTATAAGTTCTAATATATTAATAATATTATTTAATTAGTTTGATCAAGAATTAATTTAGAATTAATTGAGTGATCAAAAGATAACTAATTAAATATATGGGTTGATTATGTAAATCATCCATAACTTATGTAGTGGGCTAAGACGCTCCATGGATTATCAAGTTGGATTCCACCCATAGGATGCTCCATGGACTTAATCCATGGATCATGAAAATGAAGATTCATGTAACATTAGTGTTTTACCTAATGCAATACACTATATAAACCATGTGACATCTCCCAAAGACGGCTATGCATGCATACTTGAGGGCTAGAGCCGATTTTTGAGTGTTATACTTTCTCTCCAAGTTTTCTCCACAACATTTGGTGTTGTGTGAAGCATTTGAGGCATCGCACTTGGGGTTCTAGGCTCACAAGGTTTTAAGGAATCAAAATCAACAACAAGGTATGTTATTCTATCTATCATTTAAGTTAAAATGTTCCCCATGTATGCTAGATAGGATCATGAACCTTGGAAATCACTTTTGCATGAATCTTAGACAAACATAGATCCAAGGTTTATTAGGGTTGCATGTACACTTAGGAAGTGTTAGAATGCTCTAAACCCATCAGTAGTGTTAGAATGCTCTAAACCCATCAGTTGGGCCATTAGTGTTCATGATGCACCACTTATACATCATCATGCTCCACTATGGCACAAGGTGATCCATCATGTGTGTTGCTTATGCTTATGGGTTATATGACATGGAAGAATGTTCCATAAGATGTTACATGGCAGATTGAGATTAGTTGACACCTTTCATGGGCTTATGGGCCAATAGGCTTGGTCCATTAGGGTTTTAGGTATGATCCCTCAAGTATAAATAAGGATGCATGCTAGATCATTTTGTATCTTGAATTATAAAGTGATAAGCGAAACTCTGTGTAATTGTACTTGTAACATCTGTTTGAGAGCTCTGAAATAAAAGAATACTCCCCTCTTGCTCGTGAAAGCAGGTCACCTTGATAGAACCACGTAAATATTGTGTCTTGTTTGCTTATAGTTTTTCTAGTTTTCCACTTTACTTACTAACAAAAAATATTATAATAAAAGGACTTATAAAATTTATGTATTAAATAAAAAAAATGACTTTGGTTGGATTGTTAATGAGAATGAAAATTTGGATTTAGTTGGGATGTATAGGTGGAAAAATAAAAATTAGTTTTTTTAATGAATATTTGGGTTGCGGTTTTGGTTGTGAGTGGAGATAATCTTAAGAGTATATATATGTATATATATATATATATATATATATATATATATATATATATATATATATATATATATATATATATATATATATATTGGAAAAGTGAATATACCCTTATGGGTATATAAGCTTAGGTACCAAAACCTACCATAATACGTTGTTTTGTTTGATATGTTGATTATAATGTTCTTAAACTTCAACCCATAACTTGATTTACATTCTAGATTTTCAAATTTTCACTACTATCTTCCTCTTATATCACATATTTTTGTCGAACACTACTAGACTATATATATTATAGTTAAAAATAAATATTATGTAAAAAGAAGATAAATGTGAAATTTATAAAAATCTTCGAAGTAAATCATGTTAGAAGTTGAATTATATAAACATTGGACAATTGCAATGTATATATATGATACAAAACGACATAGTATAATAAGTTAGGGTATATAAGCTTATATACCCTTAAGGTATATTCACTTTTCCTTAGATATATATATTTATATATATATATATATATATATATATATATATATATATATATATATATATATATATATATATATATAAAAGCTTATATACCCTTAAGGGTATATTCACTTTTCCCTATATATATATATATATATATATATATATATATATATATATATAATATATATATATATATGATACAAAACGACATAGTAATAAGTTAGGTATATAAGCTTATATACCCTTAAGGTATATACATATATATATATATATATATATATATATATATATATATATATATATATATATATATATATATATATATATATATATATATATATATATATATAATCGAGAAAATTACATAAAAACATTAAGTTTACAGAAAATTTTGATTTTGACAATATGTTTTTTTTTCTTAATTGAAGCTAAGTTTAAATTTGTGTTGAAAGTTGAACAAATCGACTTGTTTGTTTTTATGTTTCTTACTTGCTGACTAGGCAAAAAACGATGTAACTTATATACATGATCCTAATTGGCAAACATTTGATTTAAAATGAACTTACAGAGATATGTATTCACTTTCCCTAATGTTTTCTTCTTTATTTCTCTGAGAGAATCACAATTTTGTGTAATGATTTTCCAAGATCATTCAGATGTTTCATCATCCCAAAATGATGTAAGCAAAACAAAAAGTGTTGTCCATATTAACAACTCCTAAAGAAATATTATTTGCATTGCTTACTCCACCATTAGATTATTAACGATTTGAACCACTTTTGGAAGTAATTGCATAAAATTGTAATGCTTTAAAAGAAGAAAAAAAAGGGGGGGAAAGTAAGAACATGAAACTTCTAAGTGGTTAATTGGTTAAAATTACAATAAAAACGTGAAGTAACTTAGTTAAGAAAAAATAAATATAATGTCAAATTCAAAAAGTATATATATATATATATATATATATATATATAATATATATATATATATATATATATATATATATATATATATATATATATATATATATATATATATATATATATATATATAAAATGTTTTTATGCATTTTGCCATATATAATAGTATAATACTATCATTGTAATTTAAAATAAAATAAAATAAGATTGATCGGCTTCTTTAAATATTTTTCTTTTCCTTCTCCCTCCCTTTTTCTCAGATAGAACTGGAACTACTGAGGTAGATTAATTCATTGTGAATCGCATTACAGATTGATCTATTTTTGTTACGTGAGGTTGTTGAAGATTTGGAGGATGGAGGAGTACTTACAGTACATGAAAACTTTACGCTCACATATGAACGGTGAATCTCTCTATCCATTATTGAATTGTGAAATTGTTTGGTAGTTGGTATTTTATAAGTGATGAATTGATGATGTGTTTTATTTTATATGATGATGCGACTTAAGACGTGGAGGATCAAGCGGCGAAGATTTCTGTCGAAGAGCAAACGCAGATCACTACTATTCAGACTCTGAAGAACGAGGTTGATTTAGGTATCTAAGTTTCTGCTTTCCTTTGCAAATATATTCACAAGCATAAGCTCACCCTTTGCTGTAGATATAATTGTAGGTTTTTGATGCCTAATTATATAAATTTGGATCTGATCAATGTTAGTTTAACTCTAGCATCTTGTCGAGGATCGTAGTATTGTTCTATAATTGCTCATGGTGCGAGTTATTGAAATACTGAGATAGGAAAAACCCTAATACGATGTGCTTTTGCAACATTGCTTAATTAAACGAATATATGGTTTCTTTTTGGTCGTATTTTCAAATTTTGATAGCAGAGGATAAATCTCTTACCATGATTTTGTTATCATCCATCATAAACTCATTATTAGACAAGTCTAATGTGGTTATTAACTACCACATCTATTTTTTCCTTCCTACCAAATTATCACAAAACTTGTATTCCAACTCAAAATTTACATTTCTGAAACCAAAATGAGGATGTCATACATGCGCAACACTCAATTCTGTGAAACTTGCAGCTAAATCTGAAACAAAGCTACTAAAGGAGGATTCTGACCTAATGATGAAGGGAAAGGGACACATCTGCTCTCAGATTTTAGAAAGACGAAATAAAATTGCTTTGTTGGAAAATGATTCGTCCACACTTTCACAGGTAGGGTTTATTTGATTCATTTCTATTGAAATAATGAACGAATATAAAACAGAAAGTGCAGATTACTACTAAAGTTTAAGATGGGGGAAAACTTAGTTGATACTCTGACAAGATAATGGACATCCAAAAGTCTACTAAAGTAAGGCCTCATACTTTCAGAAGATATGTGAAAAGTCTTGAAGGATGATTTCAATTGGAGTGTAATTTATACAATAATCCAACAACATATCAAGTTAGTGATTAATAAGGTCTTAGTTACTGTCTTTCTTATGTTTTGATTCTACAAAAAAAACAGACATTGGAGCTTATCCAACAGGAAAGATGCAACTTGTCAACCAAACTTGTTGAGAAACGGTAATTATAAATACATAATACTGAAAATGGATATAAATAATGGGCTTTATGTAGTACTGATTTTCTTTGCTTAATGTAACAGTGCATTCTATGGCATGACTGAAGAGGAGATCAACACCAAATTAAAAGAACAACAGGTTCTGTATCTTTTCTTTGCACTATGTATTTTTACTGTTGGTATAAAACAGTCAAGTAATAAATAAACTTTCTTGAATTGCATAGGACTGGTTGGATTCATACAAGTCTAGCTTAAAGATTGGAGACCATAATTTGGTAATTTCTGATCTATACGTGTTCCATGGTCAAATTGCAAGCAATAGCAACATATTTTACTCTTTGTCTTTCTACCTGTATAGGAGGCAATGTACTTTATGTTAAGACTTTTCACTATAGCAACAAACTTTATTTACTATCTAGTGATGGAAATGCCCCTATTAATGTTGAATTAACATGGTACAGATTAGTTAAATTCAAGTTAATATTTAATCCAAGTAGTTTTGTATGTTTAGGATGATGCATACAACGATACAATGACAAAGGTTGATGCTGCCAAAACTAAATTTGACAAGCTGACACATATGAGATCTGAACTTGCCTCAGAACATCACAAGGTTTACACAAAAATCTAACCTTTTCATGTTAACATAATTAAAATAAAATGTGTATAGCAAAAATTGTGAGGAATAGCAATGTATTCATATCCTTTTGATGTGAGTTAATAGTTAATCTCTCAAAGTGCTGGTTTGTTCACAAATCTTTTTGTTTTACAGGTGAAGGAATCATTGGAGAAACTGAAGGGTAGAATTGAAAATTTTAAGGTTAGTTTTCATAACATATCTTTTGGTTCTTTTCTGTCACCTTTGTTTTTGTCTTTGCTTACTATTAGGGGTAAAATATAAAGTACATTTTACAAGTATCAAGTCATATATATGAATATCTATTATGGTTAAATACATGTAAGTATAGTATGTTGCTATTTTGGTGAGTTGCAGCAAGAACTAAGGGATATGCCTAGTGAGACCCTGGAAGAGGAGCTTCAAGCTCTTATTTCTGACAAATCTGGAGAAACTCAGTATCATGAATCTATACAGAACCAAATCGACACTATTAAGGTAACATAACCTAAATATGATGTTGAATTATTAGATTCCTAACAAAGAAAGTCAAGGAAATGAGACTTTCACCATTAAGTCATTAGTTTTACTAATTTGCCCTCATCTACTTCTTTCTTCCATTTGTCCAGACAACATGTGGAATTGATTTATTTATTTTTACCAAAAAACAATGTGTTTGAGTCAAAACTCGAAAGAATCAGTTTTTTGTGCAAGTAAAAGAAACGATTGATTAAAATGATGTTTTGTTTGATCAGGGAATTTCACACATGGTTAAATGTGGTTGTGGAGAGGAGTACAAAGTAGAAGTGGTTATTTGTTTGTAATAGAAACATGTCACAACTCAACAAAAGGGTCTTTAGTCTTTACACAAAGTCCATTGTATGGAGCTTGAGTAAACTCACTAATCATTGGAATACCTATGAGTGCAAAAAACTCCTTATTACTATTAGATATGAATGCAATCAACTTCTTATTAGTGTTATATGTTGTAATATAAAATAATTTAGGATGTTACTAACATGTAAATATTTTTTGGATGACTTTCCACTTGTTAAATATGTTTTTGTAGCAAAATGTTTTTAATTCTACTTGTTTAAATATTGAAAAGTAAACTTAAAAAGAATTGAGGTCGAATTTACCACACTCCATGTTACTCAACAAAGAATTGCCAAGTGGTTGATCATATACATATTAAATGGGATATGTTTAGATTGATTTAACTAACTTTTTTTTTTGAAAAATAAAATGGACTTATCAATATCATTTTAGTTCTCAAATGGAAATCAAAACTTTATTTACATGGGAAAAAAAACCATGCATGAACACATTTCTAAATACAAGGTCATATAAGCAACTTTTTAAACTGTCAAAAAGATACTATTAACACCTTCGTGCTCTAGACTTCCACCTCCTTGTCTTTATTCAACCCCGAATCTTCATCTACATAAAAGAAAAAAAAACCCGTTTAGAAACACCAAATGGGAGGGAAAAAAATAAAAGTAGAAAGAAACCAAAGTGATAAAGATACTTTACCTTGTGTATATCGTGATATAGGGCTCATAGCAACATCTTCATGGAGGCTTGATTTAATAGTAGAAGTATATGTGAGCATGGACATGGATGGTACTTGCAAGTTGAGGGTGGCTTTGTCTTTTCCAGATATCTGTTCAACTTCATCTATCAATCATCATATGAATATGAAAAGAAAAATGTATGAAATTCACTCATTGAGTTTAAAGAGGAAAGTAATATATATGATACCCCAAATCTCAAGGTTTTATTGTAAAGGGTGACAAGGCCAGTGAAAAGCCTGACAGCATAATCAGCAATCTCCTCTGTTTCATATTCTGCAAACGCAAAGCCTTTTGGTTTATCAGTTTCTTTATCTCGAGGAATGTGTAAATCAACTACACGACCAGCTTGAATAAGTATATCGTATAAAACCCTATCGCTTACTCTCTCATCCAAATTACCTGTATAAAAAATAAAAATAAAAATAAAAACATCAGTTATAACTAAATAATAACGGACCAACAATCATCTTTCATCCAAAAGTATAAAAAAATTTTATAGAAAAAAGGGAACCAGATCATGTCATAGAAAAAGAATTCGAAAGCATACAACATAACGTTTAGCCAAACAAATGTGATCTACCTGTAAACTTGAAAACGCAAATCTCTGATTCTCAATCAGAATTTTACATCAGTCCAAAAATCAATCAACCAAAATTAATTGCAATACAAACAATTAGCGCTAACAATCCCGATTGTTGGGATTGGTATTTAGAATCCCACACAAAATGCAATCAAATGACTCGACTAATGGTCGAAATGTAGCAACTGTGTTAAGGTAGATTTGAAAGTTACCAATATAAACAGTGCAGCTATCCCTAGGATCTGATGACATGATCGACTAAAGTATTGCCGCTAGGAAACAGACGAGAAGGTGGTGAATATCAATATCGTACGATTTACGCTTTGTTTGGAATTGCGTTTTGAAACGACTTGATTTCTTATTTATCATGTCTTAATTTTCTCAATTATGAAACTCGTGTCTTCATAATCTTCTAATAAATATGTATAAAACTAAATATATTTTTCATTTATTCGCCCAGTCGTAAAATAAATGTATAAACAAATACCTGCACCAAAAATCAAACACATTATTTACACATTTGTTCAATCCCAAAAGAATTTGACGCTAGCAAATTTGCATTTTATAATTTATATGCCTTTTATTTTCTTTAATGTAATGTAGTTTTATTTTTCATATACAAGTATTTCAGATTTTGGGTCCATTTGTCACACTCACATATTCCATCCCTATACAATAACGTTTTTCATACGGGAAATATGAAAATATATGAATTAATACATTTGTAACATAAGGTGCAACCAAGACTATTTACACTTAGTTTATACATACCGTATTTTTATTATTTGACTTTAATTGACCACCCAAAATTGAAACAAGTCCTAACAACTAAGCTTCACAAATTATATATTCAGAAAACCAAATTCACTGCATAAATTTTTCGTGAACAACTTTAGGGGTCCACTCCACACTTCCACCTATTTGTCTTTATTCGATCTCACACTTTCATGTATATATATGTGGCAAACAATGAGTCGGTAACTTGTATATCACGCGATTATGAAAATTCATGTAAAATTTCATAAAATCCTAGACATTGTCAAAAACATAGTATGCAAAATAACATCTACATAATGAGCAAGATCTTCATTTCCTTGCTGTTTTATCCAAAACCTCAATATATTTCTTTGGGATCCCATATTGCTCAACCAGATATCTAGCAAGTACATCAATCACCCCACCTTGAACAAGAACTTCATACCCCTTCTTCCCTGGTTACAACAACAACAACAACAACAACAACAACAACAAGAAGTTAGAATGAGAAGGGCATTTACGTCTTTTGCACAGACAAAACAAAAGATCAAGAAAAAGTCCATGTCCCTCTCCCACCTTTTGGGTAGAAGACAAGAATCTCAGCCAAATGCAGTACAACCTGTTCTGTTTTGTCCTGTCGTATTACAACTTACAACGTACCTGGCATTTCGGTGACGGAAGTACTACAAGCAAACTTCTTCTGCAATTCCGATGCCAATGGCTCGGCATCAATCAAAAACGATTCCATTCCGGAGAGCTTCGTCACCTTCTTGTTTCCTTGTCTTCTTTCCGTCATTATCTGCATCGCCTTCAAACCACCTTTTCTCACAACCGATTCCTTTCCTCTCGTCACTTGGTGATGCGCTTGCATTCTGTTTATAAATGTCGGTGCCAAATCCTTCTTGTGTATTTCCGAAGGGTACGTCGATCCTTTCTTAATAGCCCCCTTAAACAACGCATCACATAAGATCGCATCCAAAACAACAATCGACTTATTCGTCGGTTTGACAAGGTTTTCCTTTTCCACGTAGGCGAACACCACTTCGCTTGCTTCCGATGCGGTGTACAGCTGGCGGGTGTCGGCCCCCACGGAGGTGAAAATCGGATTTACATGAACACTTGGTTTGTAAATCTCTATGACCTCCATTGTTGTGTTGAGATTGGTTTCGTTAATGGGATGATCAAAGGTTTGTTCGGTTTTCTCCACTTGTTGTTTTTCGGGTTTGAAAGAAGTGTAAACCGGATGCTTTCGGTTAATGGACAGAACCATGACTTCTTTTTTGTGTTTATCTTCTTTTGATGATATCTGCAAGTCAACAAAAGTCAACATAAGATGAGGAAAACAAAATCTTGAAAGTCATTAGGCTTACCAATCCTTCAGTAGACTTGGATTGTAACCATTTTGATAACTTTTTGTGTGAAGATTTCTTTATATCCAACACAGTTCCCGATGGCCTACAAGGTAACACATGATTCGCCCTACAACACAAATAAAAAGTGTCTTAAACCATTCAGACATGAAACTATGATATCTTACATAAACATATACATCAGATATTTACCACAATGTACTTCCAGCAATAGGAAGATCTTTATCCTTCATGGTAGTGTAAAAAGCTTGCAAAAGGCATTTGTCCAAAAGTGCATCTACATCCTCAACTGAAAGGGTATTTTGGTCTTCTGCTGCAGTGCCCTTATCACTTTCAACATTTTCTGTTACCTTTAGATTATCAAGATCAGTGATTACTTGTTGGGAGATATTTGTGTTTGAAGATGAATCATCCAGGTCATCAATGGTGGCATTGGCCACCTCTAATTCTTGGTTGTCTGCATTATTTTCATGATCACTTGTAGCATCAGTAGTTGAAAGAGAGGGATCCTCAAACACTACATCTTCCAGAAACCCAGCATTGGGCACGTATCGACCTTCAGCTGATTCCCTAAGGACATTTATGGAATTTCAATTTATCAGTAAGTTCAATGGATGAAAGTCTATTGCTTTTCTTGAATTTACCAAAGAGCATCTCGGTAGTGATGACTAATCTTTAAAGCCTTTCCACGAAGACCAGCTTTTAAAGCCTCAGAGCTGCTCATGCAGGTAGACCCAACCTATAAAAAAAGAAAAAAACAAATTACATATTTGAATATTTCTAGAAAGTTCCGGAAGAAATAGTGTGGAAGCTGACTGCAATTAGAGCTGGATTCCCAGGAACTTTAACTGCCCATGGCTGCCCGGCTAAAAACTCAGGAAGACCCTCTGAATCTATACTGATGCCCGGAAACATCAAATCTGCCCCTCCAATCACATATCTTGAAACCTCTCCTCCTTTCAGAATGAAAGAGGGTAGAAGATGAGGAACTTTCCATAATGCATATACTGCATTTCCAGATCAATAATGTTAGAGAATGGTAGTCTAGTGACCTAATTGAAGTTTATAGTCAATTATTTTTCAAAGAATTTGTTGTAGTTGAATACCTGTTGGAAATATGGTTGTGCCTCTGCTATCAACATCAAAGAAAATTGGCAATCCACCTTCCAAACTGTAAATAAGGACACGGTTTGGGTGCTTTGAGACTGTTACCTCTACCTACAATAAAACCATAACATATTTATATGCATCCATTAAGTTATGTGTCCATTTCCATTCCAATTATAATCATAATCAAGTGGCAAAATCATCAGTTTAAACATACATTCAAACGCCTCCGTATTCTTAAATGCAGGATGATCAAAATCAACATCACCAATGTGTTTGTGTTAACATTCTCATCTCAAATGTTTTATATTTTCCAGGTTGAAGCAAATGTCGCTTCGAAAAGATCAAATTACCTTGAATTAATAACATGTTGTTTCATGGTTGGCTATAATTAGGGCAACCCACTACTCAATAAGTAAAAGATGAATTGATTTGCTACATACATTAGAACCAAGAATAATATTATCAGAGTAAGAGAATCCAGATTAAAAAATTGAACCTACACCATTCACTAAAATAGCATGTTACAAAGACGAACTCGTAACCAATCAATTAGAAGAAGAAGCAAAAGGAGCCCCGTGTTGATTACTGTATCATAGGAATCGATTCAACAAAAATACGAAACGAAAGGAGACAAACCTTAGGGGGGATTAAAGTGTCGAGGTCGGAATCGGAAGCAGCCGGGAAGCGTTCTTTGATGGTTCGCTTCAACTTCTTACGATCTGCTCCCGATAATCGCTGCTGCGCTTTTGCCTCCACTGATTTCTTGAACATTTCTTCAAATCAAAACAGCTCTCGTCGATTGTATCTTTGGCTCACTGCGGGTATGCCGAGCTTACAAACGAAGAACGCAGGGCAGGAAAAAGGCGAAGCTTGTAGAATCGCTCTACCGCTTTGGAGGCGCTTTTCTTAATTTCCCCATGTTATCTATCCATTGTCATTATAAGTCCCTAGGTTCTTATTTTTTACAAATTGATAATTAATGGCTGCATTTGGTTGGCATGAAAGGAATGAAATTCGAAGGAAAATGATTCCAATTCCCTCGAATTCATGCGTTTGGTTGGACTTAAATGGAGAAAAACATTCCTAAATGAAATAAACTTCCACCATATGAAGAAAAGTGAATTCCTTTCAAAATTGGATGAAAAACATTCATTCTCATAAAGTAAAGTGACAGATTACAAAAATACTACTTGTACTTATCAGAAAACCCACCACTACTACCACCACCACCACTACCATCACCAACCACCACTATTATCACAATCATCGGCACCACCACCACCACCATTGTCGCTGCCACCGATCAACTACCGCCACCACCACCGTTGCTGCCACCACCCACCACCGCCAACACTACTACCACCATACACTGCCACCGCTACTGACCACCACCACCATCACCGCCACCAGCCACCACTACCGCTGCCATCACTCACCACCACCACTACCACTTTCATCATCACTACCAACATTGCCACCACCACCATCGCCACCACTAACACTACCAACGTCACCGCCACTGCACCCACCACCACCACTGCCACCACCACCACCACCAACGTCGCCACTACCACCACTCACGACTACTACCAATGCTACCACCACCACCTTCGTTATCACCACCGCCACCAGTCGTCACTACCATCACAAACATCATTACCATCGTCGTCATCGCCACTGCTACCATCGCCACCACAATCAATGCTACCGCCACCATCACCCTTCGTCGCCACCACTTTTTTCGACACCATCACCACCACCCATCAGTATTGTCATTCACCATTATTTTCGCCACCATCATCACCACCCATCAGTATTGCCTCCACCATCACTGTCACCCCCACCACTGCCACTGCCCCACCACCACTACTAACACCACTGAAATTTTATTGTTTTTATAATTTATCTAGTACATCTTTAAATATAAGTTAGAAAACACTATAAATATAAGCAAACCAGGTAAAAAGGGTAATTCTGTCATTTTATATGAATTCTAATTCCATTTCCCGCGAAGAAAACATAATCTGGAATTAATTCACATTCCATTTCCTTCCAACAAAACAACATATGGAATTGGATTCAAATTTCTGACAAATTCCTTTTCCAATTCCAATTCAAATTCCCTTAGCAACTTTTTGC